TAAATTTTTTATTAATTAGTTTTTTTATTTTTTATTTTTTATTAATATAATTATTTTAATATTTTCATTAAGTTTTTACTCGATATAAATTTTTTTAAGAATTAAAATATTTTATTCCGAAAATATCCATGTTGACTTGATCCTAAATCTTGTCACAATGTATTAATAGTGTCAATGGATTAAAAAAAGTTACATTTTAAAATACAGAGGACTATTTTTAGATGACCAAAATGTGCATTTAGTTTGACGTAGAGGACCATTTTCGGATTTTAGTCCATATATCAATAATATAATACATGCGCGTGAAGTAAGCACAAGGTGGTCAATGCATAACATGCATATATCGAATTTACTTCTGTCATCGAACAAAAAACTCGTGAGTTCAAAGCATCAGAAGATCATTAACAATCCTCTTATTCTAATCAAGAAAATTATTAACTTTAGCAAGATATAAACTTTACCAAAGGATCTTTTTTTTTTCTGATTCTTTAAACCAATGAAGATTGAACCTTCAAGAGTTCTAACCTTATTTTAGCCAATGACGTATGGCATCTCAATTAAAAAAAAAAAAAAAAAATCTAGTCTCTATTTGTTAATATATTAGTGTGTATTTTCTTTATTATCTCCAAATACTATGTGATAGTGTATTAAATATATAGTAAGGAGAACGAGTTACAGTTCTATAGAGTTCTTATCAAAATAACTAATGAATATCTTGATAGTTTAAATTTCTGTTTGAGTTGATAACAGACTTATATTTTCTAACTAATTCTATCGAACCAAACAAAACTTAGTTGGATTGTGATGGACGGACCATCCAGTTCGTGAACATATTATCAAAGTCGTGTTTTGTAAACTCAAATTCTGATCTACATTTAGGGCTTATTTGGTTGTAAGGAAAAGTAGTCGACGAAGATATTTGTTTTTCTTATTTTTAAAATCATACATTTGGTTCAATTTAAGAAATGTTAGAAAGTAAAAAGAATTCTAAAATCAGAGAAAACAATACAACTTTTCAAGATTCTTATTACCCACCTCTAAACGTTTTTTTCCCTTCTTCATGGATTTTTATCCTTAAATAACCTTATCATTTTTAATATGTCACGTACAAGGTGTTCAATTAATATACTGGGCATCTGGAGCTCCCTAGTAAGGTAACTCCGGGTTTTAATATCACGCGCCCACTACAACAATCAAACAAAGGTTATTGACAAATATAGATGGAAAAACAAAGGTTTCTCCATCAAACCCTAGGTACCTTTGTTTAAAGTACCTAGGGTTTTATTGACATAATAGTTCTTCGCGATTTGGGGCTTATTCTTGTGCATATATGAATTTTAAGATTATTGATATTCACCCATCAATTGTTACAGCAGAAGAATGAGAATCAAACCTGTAAGAAATGAATTGTCAGACTCCAACGATCCGACAGGTGATGTTCATCCTATGATGATTAGTTGTTCATTTCAAATATATGATTGTTCATCATCTGAGAGTGTCTTGCTCCTTTCATATGGACTATTGTTTATCTTGTGATGTTCATCCTCAGAGAGTGTCTTGCTCATTTCATATGGATTATTTTTCATCCTTTGATGTTCATCCTCTGAGAGTGTCTTGCTCAACCTGTTAAAAACAATGCTCATCCTGTTTTATACGATGCTCATCCTGTTTGATACAATGATCATCCTGTATTTGCAGTTATTCTTTCCAGTCCATTATGAACAACAAATAGTTACAATTGTGGCCTTCCGCCTACTTCCTCAACAAGGGTAAAACTATATCATTTGAAACCTTTACTATTGTTTTCAGCATTTAGTTGGTCTCACGTTATGTCTGTTCTATTTTTGTCTTTCTTTTTATGACCCTTTTAAACCGAGGACAAAAAGAAGCCTGAGTGATTGCCGTAAGGATTGAGGATGAGATATCTAGCAGAGATCATGCAATCAAGAACCAACAAATTTTATAGGGCAGAGCTTCAGAGAAAGATCAATAGATTTTATGTAGAAAATTTATAGGGCAAAAAGTATGTAAATTCAACTAGTATACACTGCCAGTAGACTTCAATTTTTGACTTATCATCCCAAAAGTTTTGTAGCAACAATGTGAATCATGTTGCGATCTCTAAAATGTCTTTTGAAAATATAAAATTCATTGAACTCTTCTGTTGTTCACAGCACCAATGTAAAAGTGTATCCTGTTATGCTGCAATATTCATCTTAGAGTCATGATCCTCATTGGTCATAAGTCTTGTAAAATCATCTGTTTAAACTACAATGTTCATCCTGTAAAACGCAATGTTCATCTCGTCAAACTACAATGTTCAACTTGTAAAACACAATGTTCATCTGGTTAAATTTTTTTCTTTGGTTGAAATTTTTTTCAACCCATTAGGCTAGGGTCTCGTTTAGGCTAATTGGTTTAAAAAATTTCAAAAAGTTAATCGTTTCCGAGCAGAAACTAGACCCTATCCTATAATTGACATACTTAAACCCCTCTAAACCCTAAACCGACACGGAGATGATTTTTTTTATTTTTTTAATTTGGTTTAAATTTTTTTAAACCGATTAGGCTAGGGTCTCGTAACGCCTAATTGGTTTAAAAAAATTTGAATAATTAATTATTTCCCGGCAGAAACTAGACCCTAACTTATAATTGAAATGCTTAAACCCCCCTAAACCATAAACCCTAAACCCTAAATCGACACGGAGATGAATTTTTTTAATTTAGTTGAAATTTTTTTAAACCGATTAGGCTAGGGTCTCACCTAATTGGTTTAAAAAAATTTAAAAGGTTAATCGTTTCCCGCCAAAAACTAGACCCTAACCTCTAATTGAAATGCTTAAACCCCCCTAAACCTTAAACCGACATGGAGAAGAATTTTTTTATTTTTTTTTAATTTGGTTAAAAAATTTTTAAACCAATTAGGCTAGGGTCTCGTAAAGCCTAATTGGTTTTTAAAAAAAAATTTTAAAGGTTAGTATTTTCCCGGCAGAAACTAAATTCAACTAGTGTGCACTGCTAATAGACTTCAATTTTGGACTTATCATCCCAAAAATTTGTAGTAACAATGTGAATCGTTCTACATTCTCTAAAATGTCTTTTAAAAGTATAAAATCCATTAAACTCTTCTGTTGTTCACTGCACTAATGTAAATGTGCATCCTGTTATACTGCAATGTTAATCTTAGAGTCATGGTCCTTATTTTTCATAAGTCCTGCAAAATCATCTGTTTAAACTACAATATTCATCCTATAAAACACAATGTTCAACTGGTTAAACTACAATGTTCAACCTGTAAAACACAATTTTCATCTGGTTAAATTTTATTTTTTTTGTTGAAATTTTTTTAAACCGATTAGGCTAATAGCCTAATCGGTTTAAAAAAATTTAAAAGGTTAATCGTTTCTCAGCAGAAACTAGAACCTAACATATAATCAAAAATATTAAAGCTCCCTAAACCCTAAACCGACACGGAAATGCATATTTTTTAATTTTTTTATTTTGGTTGAAATTTTTTTAAACCGATTAGGCTCCTAATCGTTTTAAAAAAATTTATAAGTTACGAGACCTTAGCCTAATCGGTTTAAAAAATTTATAAGCTAATTGAGTTGCATCTACTACCGTCTTGATAACAATTAAAAAACACTTCAAAATTTTTGCACAATTTGGTATCACATTAAAAATTCAATAAAGATTTTCTATTGTTCACTGAACAAGGTACAATATACATCCTATAAAACTACAATGTTCATCTTAAATTCAAATGTCTTTCATTGGAAAAGAAATCCTGTATAACTATAATATCTCATCTTTCTAACTGCAATGCTCACTTCCATGAAGGGAATGCTCATCCTGTGAAACTGTCAAGTTCACCTTATGTGTGAAATTCACTACAAAACTGCAAATTTCATCTCAGGAAATCTGATGTGCATCTTGTACTGCATGATACTCATACCGTAATTCTATGATGTGCATCTTGGCCTGCATTTTCTGTTAGTCAAGGGAAAAAGAAAAAAACAACGTATAATAACATAATGTTCATCTCAGGAAACTGCAATGCTCATGGCAGTATAACAAATTAATATTGTATTTCTTCATGAACTACAGTTCATCTAAAATCACGCCGAAGATTCGTCAGAGAAACTGAAAATTTGAGGCAAAATCACGCCGAAGAAACTAAAGAAGTTGAATTTACAAAGATTCGTTAGAGAAACTGAAAATTTGAGGCAAAATCACGCCGAAGAAGTTGAATCTACAGAGATTAGTCGGAGAAATCAAAATTTTTAAGCAAAATTGCACCAAAGAAATTCAGTATGTAAAGATCGAAAATTCGTATTAGCACATAAGTCATATACAATCAATTAATCCTTTTCACTTCGCAAGTCCTATTAAGATTCTCTAGATCTAAATTTGCATATATCAAAAAGTTAAAAAAAAAACCCAAAAACAAAAACAATTTGATCAATAATAGAAAAGAAGTAATCATCAGAAACGGACTAATCAATCAAAACGTAAGTATAAATCAGATACGATGAAGTAGAATCTGATATGCTTGATGAAGTTTGCCTGGACAGAGGATTCAAAGATGAAGAAGATACGCTTGGAAGGAGAAGAAAGAGAAAAAAGAGAGAAAAAAAAAAAGCGTTGAAGTTGTGCACGTGAGAAGTTAAAAAAAAAAAAAAATTAACGCTACTTTTTAAAATTAGGGTGCACGCACCCGTGCCGGTGTTCCGTAACTTTGGAGCACCAGGTGCCCAGTATTATTTGCGCTAGGCGTTAAGCTTGAAAAAATCTAAGGAATGTTTTCTTGAACATGACACGTGGCCAATGAAAATGTTTATTTATTGCCCGCAGCTAGTTTTGTCTTCTATAAACTAAGCTTGTGAACGGCATAATACGACTCACAAACTTGTTATGAAACTCTTCATAGGGTAACAAAATCGGCATTTTTGTCTTCTATGAAAACTCTAATTAACATCAAATAAATTTTACTAACTTTGGTTGCACATTGTATGAGCTTAGAATAACGTCAAAAGATTGTTAAATCTACCAAAAATTATCTTTTGAGATTAAAAGTGTACAGGGATTGGACTGATCACTAAGAGCTTAAAGAAGCATGGATTTCTTCAAGGCTTCTCCCTTTCGTTTCAGGGACAACAAAGAATATGAAAACGATCGAAAGCAGGCAATTGAATGCATAAAGGAAAAATGTACCTGAAAAAAAAAAAAGAAGAAGAAAACCTTCAAGTCAATCAAAATCATTTGTTTCTTAACATGATCAATAAAACCCTAATATCTGTAAATTTATACAAGTCTTTTTTACATCTTTTCTCATATGGCCTTGGTACATACTTTATTAATTTACAAGAAAAAAATTTATAAGTAATTGAAAAATATTTATATTTTGTAGGTGGAAATGGATATCACTACTCAAATGATATATAACAAATGACATACCGGATTCACTCCATAACATGAGGAAATTGAAAGAGAAAGACACCATCCAGGACCCGAACCAATTCATCAATGTCACAAGGCCTCCACCCAATCCTTTTATATTCAAAGGGAACACCTAAAAATAAAAATGCATTTTCAAAATCAGAGATTCGATTAGTTTCCGTTTGATTTAAATTTCCCCTTTTATTCATGTATTTACAATTTTATAGCTTCACTATATGTACCTCGCTCATGATAAGCCATGGGCACGCACCCATGCCTATTGAAAATGAGGCAATATAGACCTGCAAGGTTTTTGTTACATTAATATTTAATTAAATACTTTCGAATTAACAGCCATAAATTGGTTAGAAAATCAATTATGCAAGATAGATGCCATGAGGTTCTTTAGAACGTTACCAAAACACCAGTTACCGCGAGAATTGGAACCAAATTTGCCGCCATTTCATGTGCCTGAAAAAAAAAAGTAGTAAAAAGAAAAGAGTAGATAACTAAGAGAAAAAATGCATTTTTCAAGTCAAATATGATAGTCTCCCTCCTAAATTAGCATCCCTTTTATTAAAATAATGTAGCAAAGTGAATTCTAATACTCTTTTATTGAAATAATGTAGCAAAGTGAATTCTAATACTTATCTTTTGAACATTAGTGAAGCTAAGCCCTTCTCATCAGTACACACGGAAAAAACTTGTTTCATGCATTCCATTATATAACAAAATAAATTAATAAAATGAGACGGAGAGATCCGTAATACATCAAACCAAGCCAAGATGAAAAATCATAGAGCTAGACCAGTTACAGTTTTCTCACAGTCAAGGTATATTATTATTGAATGAATTAAATTAAATAGCAAAGATTTAACGAATATAAAAACGATTGATGATCAAAAGTTTTCATCTCTATCATTTAGAGTACCTTCAAAAGGAACGAAATAGCAGTCAACAAACTGCCCGTGAGCAAGCCCGAGGCAGAAACCTGAATGGACACAGAACTTTTGATCACTTTTTGGAAACCCTAATTAAAGAATCCCTAATTATTATTTTGAGTAATTACCAGTAAAAGGGGTCTTCTTCCGGTCCAATCAACCAAAACCGCATTTATACCAGTCACTATGACCTGAATTAATTTGGGAAAGAATTTAGTTTTACTTTCATTACTTTCATTTAGTTTTGTGAGAATATTGTGAGTTAATTATGAGACATAATGTCGTGACTATATGTTCCACTCAGTGATTCAAATTCTTGTCATCACCATTCTCAACTGTGGTTTTGACATTGTATCATTTGAATCATTAACCAAATACTTCACTCAATAATACTCCCTCTGTCCCATAATTATTGTCCAATTTGAGTTTTCATTTCTAGTTCAAATTGTGCTAAAAATGAAATCTCAAACTGGACAATAATTTTGGGACAGAGAAAGTACAAGAGAGTAGAGCACATTATTTCGGTAGACAAAATATAAGACTTCTTCAATTTGGAAAATGGACAAGACAAAAAAGGTTCATTCAAGTTTAAATGTTATGAAGTTCATGGGATAAAATAATAGAAATAAATAACTCGATCCAACATGGCAAAGGAAATTAGTTAGAAGAGTTATAAAAGGAGAAATAAAGGATAAAACCTGTATGATTGCGTAAAGTATGCTTCCAAGATGGGGATCAAACCCTGAGACGATAATCAGTATCCAACTGAATGAAGGGTTAAAAAAAAATCGAACAAATCATGTCAAAATGTATTGATCAAGGAAGTAAGACTCTTTTGTCCGTACTTGAAAAGGTGAATATTTTTCGATTAAATGTGAACAAAAAACGCTTCCTTTTCATTACAAATGTCTAATTTTACATTAGAACATAAATGCACAAACACAGCGTATACGATACAAGTAGGACATAAAAATGTCCACTTCCATATGATCATGTGCGATCAAACATACTACAGTACTGTGGATGGAAGAGTGAAACACTAAAATAATAAAATCAAAAATAAAATCTCGTAATATTCAAAGTAGCAGATGCAGAATATGAACAAGAAAAATAATCAGGAAAGAAAATTTAACATTAAGTTAATTACCTGCAGACCTAAAAATGAAGCTGGAGTAGTAAACAATTCCGTTAATTCCGATAATTTGTTGAAAGGCCATCAAACCAACAGCTATCTATTTTGAACACCAAAGAGAAACATAATTGATAAAGAAAGGAATATCAGTACATATATAAAAAGAAAACAACATGGCTCCATTAGTCTTAAAAACAAGAAATATGTTTTGCTGGTGTTTTTTTAGTATTACAAACATTATTTTTATTTTGATTCGTAGGACGTTTAAATGGATGAGTAAAGTGCTTACGAAAACTGGACGAATATTAGTTCTATCGAACAAATTCATCACTGTGGCTTTGGGAAGTAGTTGAAGCGCAGCTACATTATCCTGGAAAACATAGAATTGAGATTGTTTTCATGCATTTTTTAGTCATTTCGTTGAACAAATTCACGATCGCAATCAATATTTATGACTATCATTTGTATAACCATGCATGACTTTAACAATTAACTGAAGAGTAGTTTTACCTTAATGAGGTGGGCTTCTTCATATATGTTTGCATTTGGTCCTCTAAGTTTCCTTAGAGCCTTTTCAAATTCTTCTTCATTTCCACGCATAGCCTGCAATACATGTTTTTGAAGTAAGAGTAAATCTCTCTATTCTTTGATCATTACCTGTAAAGATAGCATATTGAAGTTGGAATTGAGAACCAATTTTGCTAAAGTTTAAACAAGTATGAATTATTTATACTCTTTCCCTCTAAGAGAATGATTAGTTTTGTTATATAAGTCCAAAAAAACAGACATAATTTATTTTTGTCGAGAAAGTATATATCATTCGTAAATTAAGATACTGAAAGAAAAGTATACCAGCCATCTTGGGGATTCTGGAATTACTAGCAGTCCAAAAAGCAGAATCACACAAGGAACCAATCCTGCAGGCAAATGAAGTACTTCCAAATTATTGTGTTGATATAACTAAATCATTTAATTAATTTTCAACTTGGAGGAATTCCAATTTTTTAAATATATGGAGATTACCATGTAAATTATTATCTTTTCCAGTACCCCTCCCCTCTCGATTGTACGTAGCACTTGTGTAACTATGATTTAAAATTAATTCTCACTCACTGAAAAAATACAAGTTTTGTTTACTGACTTATTTAGTATTATTATAATAATATGAGTTTCTTTTGGGTTGAAAACATTATAATAATAACTCAATAATAATAATTTATGTTTAAAAGTAATCTATGTACATATTGAAAAAAAAGAAGAAAAACTCAAGAAAGTTTTTATATTTTAAAATAGTAATGTAAAATAGTTATATTACCAAATAGAGCCAGCGTCCTCCAACCAACAAAAGTGCCAATTACGTAGCTTGCTGATAACCCGATTATAATAAAAAGCTGTCAATAAACAACGATAATCATGAGAGTGAAAAACAGTTCCAACTAGCAAAGCATTTCCCGACTTGCTTTTCAGGGTAAGAAGGGATAGAGAATAATGTATAGCTTTCTTTCGTCAACAATGAGTTTATTTAAGTTTCTACTCGAAAGTTTGAGTGAAAATAATCAACTGAGGTAATATCCTATTTGTATTAACCGGGAAAAAATCAAAAAATACTACTATATTACATGATGTAGTAATGAGGCATTTCTTCCATCTCAAAATTTTCATCATGCGTAAATACAAATATTTTAGAACGAAGAGAGCGACCATTTTACCTGGTTCAGAGTTCCTAGAGCTCCTCTGAGTTTACTAGGGGTTATCTCACCAACGAAAACGGGAACCTACATAAATAAAGGAATAGAACATTTGATATGTAATGTGTGAATTGTAAGTCTCAACAAAAAGAAGAAAGGTAGTTACAATGATAAATTCAATAAAAGAAAAAAATATGAAAAAAACACTGATAAAGAAAAAACTCCATTTTCATTAATCCCAATCACTTTACTAAGTAATTAACAGTAGATCAACCAATCGCTAGTGAAATTCTTATATGAACTTTTTATTGTAAGTATTATCTGCCATTCGCATCATAAATAATGGAATGGTAACATAGAAGACACGATCGAATGAATTAAAGAGGGCTTACTATGTATGATAGATTCCCAATTCCGTAGCCAATTAAAAGCCTGCCCAAGTACAGCATTTCAGGATTCTACAAAATGTATAATACATACACAAAATTAGGGCAAAAAGGATTAGTTTTCATTCAATTATTTATGTGGAAGAAGATGAATGAAACAAACCTTTGCCAGAATTATAGCTATCCATCCGAAGGTACAAAATATTGATGATAAACTCATGCCCTGAAGGTCCCAATAATTTAGTCAGCAAAAAGATAAAGGGAAAATTCAACACAAATTGACACTGCGGAACAAAATTAAAAGAAATAAATATAATTTAGTTTGTGACAGTTTTATTCCCTTATATTATTATGCTCCATTTGTCCTACATGATAACAAACTAGTATGGCAACCATTTTGGGACGAGCTAGGGGAAGAATAATCTCTGCGGTAGGGTTATTCTCTTCCCTTGTGATTCAGTCAAACTTTATCTTAATTAATCTTGTGAATTTATAAAATACTAGTATATTAATAAAAATTCTTACTCCATCTAATTAAGGTATTTAGAGACATACTATATATATATATATATATGTTTGATTTTCTCCGGGCAATGCAACGAAAAGAAGGTTTAACAAACTTACACTAATCGATATGCTAAGAAGTTCCCGCATAAATACATTTTACATTTCAATACCGTTTTAACAATATCGTTTCTACCTTTTAAAATTATACTCTTCTTGTCAAGAACATTCACTTTATGGACAAAATGACGTATGTTTTAGGGAATCCCTTTAATTTCACTAGCTAAAATTAAACTAACATACTCTAATTTCACTAAAATTTGTATTCAGAATTTATTTATACTACTAATATTAAAATACAATTAATAATCAAATATGTCAAATAATTCACGGAAGAAAACCTGACAGCCAAAGGAAAAGCATTAATACAGAATGTTTATTTTATGTTCACATCACCCCTTTTCGGCCAATAGTATCTGCAATTTTACCGCAGGTGAGTGCTCCAACCATTGCCCCTATTGTTATGGTGGATCCGAAAATTGAGTACTGCAGTTTTAATTTCCAGACCAAAAAATAAATTAAATAAAAATCACCATTCAAACAATTTTTTAATCTGCATTTACGTGCATAATAATGGAAAATAAGGGAGAAACAAAAATAGTTCAAGAACCTGAGAAAGTGTAAGTCCGAGTTCTTCCATTATATGATACTGCGCCGGTGCTGAATATCCGATCTGTATACAGCATTCGACAAAATCATACATTTATTCGAATCTCTTCACTCAAATACAGTTTATAGTTCCAATTTTCAAAGGACTCAAATGAAGATATAAAAGGAAAAGTCCGATACGAATACATATAGTTTCAAACTCCAAAAAGTTAATTTCTAGGGTAAAGAACTGAATGAATATGGTAATTAAACTGAAAATCTTACACTTGATCCAAATATAAAAGAGCCACAAACAGCCACAGCTGTGCTGAGAAAAACCATATGGAGTGCATCCTCTTGACCTTCATTTCTTCTCTCAAGAAATGGCTCCTTCACATTTACTTCTTCTTCATGATGATCATGACCTTTCTCCATAATTCTGGGAGCTTTGTAGACAAATTTTTTCCTTTCAAAAAGTTCCAAATATTTTCTTGCCCTAGCTAGATCTATTCAAACTATATATTTCAACAAATGATTATGAGAGAGGGAGAGAGAGAGAGATAGATGAATATGAATGGGCAAATTAATGCTTATCCTGGATATTTTTCACTATATTATATAGTACTCCTATATTCCTATTCATAATGCGTATTAATAGTTTTACTCAACGTGATTGTTCTTTTTGTAAATCTCTATATATAGTGGTTTTAGAGTAATAAATTAATTGCTTGGTATATTTTCCACCTCATGAGTGGGCTTATCCTAGTTGTTTACCAATTCATATGGTATAAAAATCTTATTCATTGTAATTTTGTTGTGTGGTAAAGCGACCTTTACTCTAACACGAATTTATACATGTATAGAGATTCTTGACTCAGCTGAAAGGTCCATATGACCATATAAATTAGATGGATTTCGATTTAGGAAGCAGGTCACAGCAATATAATCTTAACCTACTGAGTTGGTGCAAACATAGATGATAATTTATCTTCATGGGACAAATTTTGCTTTTGATGCTTAAATTACAGTAGTTCATGATAAAACTGTTTCATGGAAACTTCAAATCTTCTTGTAAATCGATAAATTTTGAGATATTAGTTAGTTTTCTGTTGAATTTAACTTAATTTGGAGCCATTTGGGGCCAATTTGACCTACAGGTGTTTTAAGTCACTATGACTTTGACCTTAATCATGAATCTGTCAAAAAAAATAAAACATTAAAAAAAAAAATCATTTTCAGGCTATTGATGATCATTGGATTCATTCTCTTCTGAGGTTTATCAGTTTACGTCCTATAGAGGTTTCTGTATAAACTGATAGAGAAGAATGGAACTTCAATAAGATTGGATATGATATTTTTCACATTGCGCTTCACAAATGGACTAATCTTATGGTTATTGCACTTTTATCAGTACACACGCAGTAGCTAAGGTGAATTATCTGACGTTTCTTCGATGATCTGATTGACCGAATTGTATGTTCTACATTTGGTATTATATATCTGGCTAATGATGATAGGATCAAAGTCATTCAGAAGTCAATCCATCATTAGTTTCTTAAATATTTGACACTCAACCTCGACATTTTTGCTCTCATTGTGCAGATTGATGGTGGATTGTGCGATCATTGCCTCCTAGCTTCTTAGTTAAATCATGGGATTTATTCGAAGCGGATTTTTGTCGCACCAGTTAGGCATGTTGTGCAAAATGATGAAGTAAGCATCAAATTCATCATGTCTGAGTCTGAAGAACACAGAAAAGGTGCAATGACTGATATCCTTCTGTCATCTTCTTCTTCTCAACAGGAAGGCTCTTTTTGGAATCACAGGGAAGTTAATTCATGCAGTTGCGGAAGTTAATTCATGCAGTTGCTGCATTAGCGCATGGCAGTGATTGATTTCTGTCTTTTTTTTTTTTTTTTGGTTGACTCGGGTGACCTTAGATACCATATGTTATCCTCTATACCTATACCCGTTCGCGTCATTGCAAGCTCTGGCAATGGCACCAACAGTTTTGACTTCATTTAGATGGGTCGGGACATAAAACCTGTTCAGTTTTGGTGTTAGTTTCTGTGAGATAAGAGGCATTAGGGTACTAACTATTTCTTCAGTCATTTCATAATTGGGTGACAAATGTTGAAACAGAATCATGAAAGACTGTTTGTTTCAGGTCCTGAGATTTGTAAGCTACTGATACTGGTGGATTCATTATTTTTCTTCAAAAACAGAATTTTGAATGAGAGCGCAATCAAAGTCAAGGCATACTACCCTCACTAGGACATGGTTCCAGAAAGCCTTTCTTAGTTACAGCAATTTTCTTTACTTCTCCAGAAAAAAACACTCTCCAATGCAGACTTCTTGTATACCGTGGATTCGAACTTGATCCGTGCGATTATCATGTACTAATTGTCTTCTGTTATAAGCTGGAGATATATATATATATATACATATTACTAAGTATCATATTGTATCCTAACTTAAAATTTATTAACGTCAAAGAAATAACGCCGTTACATTAATAGGACGTGCTATACAATCTACTGGAAGATACAATCCTGACTCTCAACCTGCTAAAGTCAAGTCAACATCTAGTATATGTACAAAAGGGTATAAGGAGTGATAAAATTGTCAAAATGAAAGTATTTGGCTTATCATAGTTCTCTGATACAGTGATCTGTGCTTGTTAATGGAGCTTCTTCACTTTCCCTGGATCCAGAAGCGTAATCCTGGCTTTGAGAACTGAATGTAGTATCCGTTCTAGGGGAAGAAAGTAGCCTATGAATTTCAGCAGTTTCGGTGGCATAAGCAAAATCAGGAATTGAAGACAGAGGAGGAACTATTCCTAATTGATCAGATTCCAACATATTCACAATGTGATTCATTGTCGGCCTGGCATTCAAGAGAGGATGAACTGAGAGAATAGCGGCAACAAGATGCTTCTCCATTTCATGTGAATATTCAGTCTGATCACTAAGCAGGTTTCCATCTAGAATATCCATTGCTCGACCTTGCTTCACTAATGACCAAGCCAAATCTGTCAAGAGCTCAGCTTGATTATTGCTAAACGAAATCACTGCCTTCTTCCCACTCAGGAGCTCAAGAAATACCACTCCAAAGCTGTAGACATCACTTTTCTCGCTCAGTCGGCCATATAATGCGTATTCAGGGCACACATAGCCTAAAGTACCAGCAACCCTGGTGCTAACATGTGAAAATCCATCGGGAGTGAATTTCGCCAGGCCGAAATCTGCTAATTTCGGCTCAAAAGCTTCATCTAGCAGAATGTTGCTTGCTTTGACATCCCTATGTATAATGGGCGGTGTTACGCCATTATGTAGGTAAGCAAGACCGCGAGCTATTCCTAGAGCAATTTTCCGGCGAATAGGCCAGCTTAGCTTTTCGGCTGTCATCATATCAGAAAAGAGGTGATCATGTAGGCTTCCATTTCGGATATAATCACATACAATGATTCTCTGGTGGCCTTCTAGAGGTGTTGTCACGGTGCAATAGCCCCTTAAAGCTACTAGATTTACATGCCGGACGCTGGCAATGACCTGTACTTCATGAGCAAAAATTTCTTCCCCGGAAACAGAACAATTCTTAAACCTTTTCAATGCAACTTCAGAGCCATCCTTTAAAATCCCTTTGAACACATTCCCATATCCACCTCTTCCAATCAGGTTCTCCCTGGAGAAGTTCGCCGTCGCCAGTCTCAGTTCCTCGATGCTGAATCTGAGCAAGGTAATGCCTTCAGTGAGCATCTCAAAACCAGAAGCTAATTCCTCTGCATTCGCTGTCTTTTCAGAATGAACACCTCCTCTTCTCCAGCAATGATTTGTCATCAGCCACCAGAAAAGCCAAATCACTACAATAATGCCCACCAACGACGCGATAACAGAGCCGATTAGTACTCCTCTGTGACCAGTATTATGCTTGATATCAGATATCCTGGGATCTGAAGTGTTGAAGACAGAAAACAGACACTTAATTGTGCCCAGATCAAAAGGGCCAAACCGGGTAGCAAAAGCAGCAGCATACATTTCCGGAAAACCATCACAATCAGATACATTATCAGATGATCCAGAGACCTCAAAATAAGCAGATTCAATCCTGGACAAACTAGCAACACATGTTGCACAAGAAGAGTTATCATTCAGGTCCTGATTACACTGACTGGTGATTTCCTGCAACTCCGGTTTCGAAATCAACGCCTCGAACTGCGATTTCGTGGAGATATTCAAACAGCTATCCGAAATCCACTGATCTTGAACCCCACAGGTGACCCTGACACCAAATGATTTCACATAACCATCAACAAGAGATTCATAAGCATCCCAACAAGATGCAGATTCATTCGCTGGAAACGTAAAGCTCCCTGTTCGGCTTAAGTAATCAGCTCGAACAATACGAAAACCTTGAAGAAGAGACTTACACTCGGATTGAATTTCAGTGAACCGAAGAGCCGTAGCATATTTAGAAACAACTTCACGAAGCCTTTCCATATCCAAAGGACACACAGAAATACTATCTTCCAAATTTCTTGCGCCTGAAGAACACGAAAATCCCACAAAGAATCCATGAAGAAACAGTAAATAAAGTAACTTCATCGGCTTTTTTTTTTTTTTTTTTGGCTTCCCTTTGATTCAGAGGCTAAATTAACTCATCCCATCTTCAGTAATGTTGAATTCTTTGTTCTTTTGTTGTTTATTTCTTATGAGATTGGAATATTTTTCATTTTTAATTGACGTGGGACATAATTTTTCTCCAAGTTGTCACACTTTGACGTTGCTCATTTTTTTCAAAATAAATTTATTATTTAGATTGCTGAATCCTCCACACAGTTGTATGTCATTGCGTAGCTTGATAATGAAATCTCCTATATCTTTTGTATTGTCACAGATGAGGATTAAGAAACAATTTCAGTGTGGAAAACTGATAAATCAATTGCTGCATTTACCTCATCAAGTAGATGGAATCCGTTGGTCAACATTTTGTCTTGACCGCCGTTTGAAAAAGGTGGTTTTGGTCACTTTTGGGGTACCATGTAAAATAGCATTGGTTGACTTGGTAAATTAAATTGAGTTGGCAAATTCCACGAACCCGTTCTCTTCTCTTTCAAGTTTTTCAATTTATTGGTAAAGTAAAAAGTGTGGGACACGGTAATTGTTGGGTGTAAAGTGTAAACAAAACAAAACTAAACTTAAGTATAAATATATATATATCCTATATCACGCAATGACGAGTCTTGAGTCTTGTTTGAATTCATCAAGACCGAACACCAATTTTATAATCATATGTTTTATGTACAGTCGACTAATATCAGTGGCGCCGTAGCGGAACTAGAATTTGAGCATTGGTGTCAGATTTACAAAAGGAAGAACTTGGTTACTATGAAAATAATACCAAATTTATTAAGAAAATACAGATCATGTTATATATAATTTTTTAATATAAAAATAAATTTTAGTTCACCAGAAAGAAGAGAAAAAATATTCTATACGTTTTTTTATATTTACTGAAAGAGCATAACTTTTTATGAATGTTTTTTTAAAATAATGACCCCAGCGAGAATCAAATCATCAACCTCCTCCTGATAAAGTTTTACCATTGAATCATTATATTCTATACAAGACTTAGATGTTTTCTGAAACTGAAATGGAAAAAGTCTTCTCTTATTAGTTATTTCACATATGGACCTACGATGAGTAGGTGAGTTTCTTCTTAAAAGTACATATTCTTTTTTATACATTTTGATTAGTTTGGGCCAAATTTAATATTTGAGACCAAATGAAAAAGGCTAGGTTCGGGCACTTCACTAGTTCGGCCACTGACTGATATACCACTTCATATCTCAAAAAAAAAAAGTTTATATTGAATTTTAGAATTTGTATGAAAATTATACAAAATCTCAAATTTAATATGAAGAGAAAATTTAGATTAAGGACAGTAGAGAGATTTTAATTAATAAAAAAGGCATAAGTCTTATATAATATGGATTAAGGACAATAAATTATTTTCTCAAAATCATGAAATTAAAGTTCTTGTGCTCGGACGTAAATGCCACTCATCCTAATCCTTAGAAAACACATGTTTTGAACGGATTCATCTCTCTTTTTTTTCCTGGAAATAACGGAAATGCAGCCCCAAGTTGTGCAATGACGAAGTTGAGAACAAAACTGATTTAAAATGTTGATGCCATGAGATTTCCACTATCACCTTTGCAATGCTCCACTGAAAGAAAAATTCTCAAGAAGTAGCTATTATATTTCATTTTCCCCTGTAAGATTTTTGGCAAAATCTTTTTGGTGATTAATATGTGCTTTTCTTACATAATAAATAGCCAGTTCCAAGTTAGCCACCACATATCTGTAAAGATATTATCTACTAATTTGAGATACAATTGACAAATTTCAGCTTAATCATCTCGTTAGTAGGCAGCTTAACTTGACGCAACTTAATAGGCAGCTTAATTGATGGTCCACATTGCCGTTAAATCGTTCGAAGTTAGCTTTCAAGTTAGCAACGAGATGGACTAAATTCTGATATCTTTTGAAATATTTGCCTCATAGTCTTTAGTTTTTGTGGAGATATTCTCTCTCTGTTATGACTTTGAGCTACTAAAACTGGTGAAAACATTTGCTATTTAGGGTTGAAATTTGAGCGATGATGAGGAGAAGAAGGGTTTTCTTCGGTTTCTTCTTTTTCAACGTTAAGTATGAGATTGACTTAAAAGAATGAGGGCATTTACGTCATAGCATAAGAAGTTTATTTTATGATTTTGAGAAAGTAATTTACTGTCTTTAATTCATATTAAGTAAAAACTTGTGCCCCTTTTATTAATTTTAAAACCTCTTTACTACCTTTAATCCAAATTTTCTCTAATATGAACTATGAACTGGAGACTATTGTTATCTTTTATAATGTCAGGTAACAGAAAAAAAATAAAGAAAAAAGCAAAATCTTACATTTGAATTATGTACGACTTCTTTTTAGAATGTACAAACGCTTGAATTGACCTATTTTTATCAAATCTTTCCATTATATAATTTTTTTGAATTAATTTTGAACAAAAAATATGAATTACTTAGTAAGCCTAAACTAACAGAATAGTTTGGCTAGGTTACTTAGCTCATTTAACCAATAATAATGTGCTGACATAAACAACATGAAACGGGAAACCTATAGCAGTTAGTTGGTAGCCATGTTATCTAAGAAAAAGATAAAGTAATTGAGAATGCATTTTAGATACCTAAATTTCAGTTTCTTGAATACTAGAATGTGACAAGATCACAAGAAGATTAAGTAATTTAAGAGACCACCGTGATGTGAACAACGATAATGTTCAGTTAAGGGGGGAAAAAAAATCCACTCTTCATGTATTCATTTGGTAACCAGTACATGTTGCATTTGATGAGCAATGAGTTTCTTCAAATAGAAAGATAAGATGAATAATCCCTTGTATTATATTGATCAGTTTGTGCATAAAAGCTTTGAGATTATTCACTATTATATCGTTTTCACTACATCAAATGCTTCAGCATCATATTGAAGGAAAGCGTGAGCCAAAATATCAGCGATAGTTTAATCCGAAATAAATTATTGTACAGACTTACAGTATTCACATGATAGTATGATACACTTTATCGATCGACTTAAAAGAACTCAATAATTTGAATCGAGTATATTTTAAGCTTCATCGTGATTCTGCAGATCCTTAATTTCAGAATTTTAAATATTATGTAGTGCATCCCAAAGCTGTTGGTGAATCTTTTTTTTTTTTCCTCTTTGATAAAGAGAGGACATGATATACTCTAATCGGGATCTCTCGTCTTCCTTATTACGTACCCACATTCTCCAGCACAAGAAACCAATCCTAAAATTGAAGTTTTACAAGCTCAGATCAAAGAAGTGGTTGAATATAGCGCTCTTGGGTAAATTTAATTAGAATTCGTCCCTCTACACACCTCGTGAGTTGAGAGAAGTTTTTTTTTTTTTTTCTTATACAAAAAGAATGATGGATATTATGGTCATTTCATTATTTGGGTGAAATATTTTCAGACTCCTGAAGTAAAAGTTAATTTGACGACTAAATTAACAATTTTAGGAATAATTTTGTCTGTAAAAAATTTCCCTCGGAAAGAAATTAGAAAACTCCCTATATCTAAAAAGAAATTTAAACTGAACAATTATTTCTGGAGCAAACGAGAAGAAACCATGCATGCATACTGTAAAAGCGACAATCCTTAAGGAAAAGAATCCATTCTACAAACCTTCAATTCATAACCATTACCCATGTTGCATTGGTGCATCGGGCAATATAGACTTCTTCAAAGAAGAAAAAAAAAAAAAAAAAAAAGACACAATTCATACAAACCAATCGAAGAGCAACTTAATGAAGAGATGAATAATTATCCCTCCCTTCTGTATACACATATTGATCAGTTTGTGGATTTGATGAACTCGCAGCCACCACCGACTTCAGTTTCTGGTATGTAATAGGTTGTCTTCTGAGTGATGAGTGCATTTTCAGGTTCTTCATAATCTTCCAGATCCTTAGATAACTCCGGATCCTGCAAAGCGTCCCAAAGCTTCTGGCGAAGTATTTCTGCTTTTGACTGGTTAAGTACTTCTGCTGTTGACGGGACACTATACTCTACTCTTTCTGATCTCCTCTTCCTTACCACATTCTTCAGCACTTTGAGACACAAAAAATCAACAAGCATGCATTAACTAACTTATTTACATCGATATGGAAAAAAAAAGAAAAAAAAAATTGACACTCTATGTTGTTAATCAAAAAGTTAAACCTAATAATATGCGAAACTATTAATATCAAAAGTTAGATATCAAGGGATTTTGTGTTCTTTTTCTGTTTGCTTGTTTTTTGAAGAATATGCCTGCTCATTAATTGTGGCAGTTGATTAATTCAGAAATTAAAAACAGGTGTGTATTCTGGAATGTCCTAAAATTACACTATCATGCACACATATTAGTATCATCCATGTATAGTACAATAAATAAAACTATTATTTCATGACAGATAGAGTAAGCAAGACGTTAATCAAAATTTAAACTTTATATAGAGGGAATCTAGTAGTCTAAACTCTAAAGATTATATACATGAAAGCAAAGAAACAAATATACTTGTAAAAGGCAAAAAGCTGGAGGGAGAATACTCACATTCACTTCCATAGTATAACTGATGCTAGCATTTTTAAAATATAAAGTATCATAAACCATACATATATATAAGTATTATAAAGATAGAATCCTTCTATCATTTAGCACGAGTGAGACTGTATATATTGTATATGAAGCATCAAAACATGAATAAATATCAATTTTGATTTACAAGCAATATTACATTATTAAGACACTACATTGAATCAAAATAATTTAAATTAAAATCAAAACATTCATTTAATTTAGAGCCGCTAGTCATTTTAAGACACTGATTTTGGCAAACTTCAAAATTCAGTCCGGAAGCTTCCATGATTGTTTCAATAATCAAGGGTAACTGATTCAATTGTGAAAAAAGTAATTAATGAACCTTGGCTAATTTGAAGCTATATCTTGCTTGCCTTGAATAATTTCCACCACAACGAAGAAAACGACAGTAATACGTTATCTTTTTACCTTGGGGACGAGAAGAATAAACACTTTGATCATCAACTTCATCCTGAAGGTTAGCGATCAAATTAGAAGGATCAATTCCATGTTTGGGAATGTAATTTTCAAGGGGTAAATTCTTCCTATATCTCGATCCACAAGCATTGCAGAGGACTGGTTTTTCTGGTGGTCCGCACCTCCATAGAGGAGTCCCTACGCCACGAATCAATACATTTATAAGAGTCAGTTTGATGAGTTATCATTAAGAAAAACATTAAATAAAAAGGCATTTTATTTTCTGCCACATTTATAGTTAGTAATTTTGTTTTATTAATGGAACAACCTCATTTTATTAGAAATATTTTTATATTTTAGTGTGAAGTAATTAAGAATAAAAATCTAAGTACAGAACATTAAATGGAAAAAACTATTCATCCTATTTAACAAAAAAAAGTAATAAAATTCTTTTTTTTTTGTAGAGCATTCGGATGTTAGATTTGCAAAAGAATTAGCAAGAAAAAGGCAGTTTAAATTACTCATCTTTCTCGAATTAAAACAATACAATACAGAAAATCATAAAAATTAGGGATTGGAACCAAAGACGAAATTTCTTTTGTGCTAATGAGCGTTCATTACTTTCTTATTTTGCATGAGAAATCCCATAGAAATAATTGGTGATATTGCCAGGCAAAATTTAGCCTTCAGGTCATTTATGTGTGTTATTATTCCCAAATAGCCCTTAAGGAGTCAACCCATATTTATTCTCTCTCCATTCTTTTTTCTACCCAACTGAAACCATCATTGTTATCATCTTTATCACCAATCATCCTCCCTCCCAAATCTAAACTCAATTATTTTCTTTAGATCTTCAAACAATTAAAAATCTAAAGACAAGGATAATTTAGATTTTATGGCTGCCAAGTGTAATGAAAAGTAATCCCACGGAGGAAATAATAGATAAGAAAGAGATGCAATTTTCATTTAATTAGCATCCAAATTATCTTGTCTTGGAGATGTAAACAATTTTTGTGACAATATTTTAGACTTGAAGAGTTGGAGCCGCTGCAATTTTTAAAATATTTTTGCCCGAAAATCCTTACAAACATAACAAGAATGAATCGAATACTCAACTCAGGTGTCCTAGACCAGATTTTTAGATGATGGAAAAATTTGATAGAAGTTAACTTGGAGGGAAGTTAAAGCTAATGTATTTTCAAACATAGTTGACTCTATTTCCAATAATTTGATGATGAAACACTTTATTTTTCTGATTTAAGTTGGTACAAAGGGAAGAATTGATGGGCCAACGGCAAGCAGGCTTGTAATTTAGAGATTTACTCTAAAGGCTAATTATTGTGCTGGCAATATCATTAGTCATAAATAATAGCTCGCATTGATTGGTTAGTCATTCAAAGATATCCATTGGATTTTAAAAGCTTCTTAAATTGGGCAACAGTTGAGGAATTAAACACAGGAAATTTTTTTCTACAAAATGCATGCTATTAAGCGGTGGATATTATGAGGGTTCTTCAAATGTGAGAAATCAGATTGTACGCATCTACTAACGCTAGCAAACACCTAACTCGAATATATCAGAATTCAATGCAATATTTCCAAACAATAGTTATCCTTCAACTGGAACCGAAAAAATGGCAAGAATACAGTATAACCGATGTTCATCTTTGGCGTCACATGGTAAAAAAATCAAAGGATTACCTTATTTTCTTAATTTCTTTGTTTTTTTTTCGGCTTTAGGTGACAAAAGAAAAGAAATTCATTGGAATAAACTTCCAATCATATGGTGAGAACTGCTTATTCATTCAAATGGCCTACTCTTTATATACTTTTCTAAATGAGGAAGAGAAAAAAAAAATCCAGAAATTAAAAAAAAAAAAATACAATGAAAACACAATAAAAATTTAAGCAAAGAGGTAGAAGCTGGAGAAAAGGGTTCTTACAATCAATCCCACAGTGAAAGCAAGGTCCTTGTTTACCCATGCGAGACCTTAATTTCGACAGATATTTAAAGCATCAAAATATGTTCGAAAATTAATCTGTATATTTGAGAGATAGAATGCTTCTACTATTGGAGGTGTTTGCTATATATATATAGCACTAATGAGATTGTACTGTATATGAAGCTATGAAGTCATTCTCATTTACTGGTGTTAAATATTACTCATAAAAGCTTGATTAAAAAATGAGACATAAATTGGTAAAAGAAAATCAACAACACTTGTCGAAAACACTGAATCCCGTTTTTTGTCATTATGTTTTTACCGAAAAAAAACTTGTTGTGGGTAGGTTATTGGTGTTAGGTAATGGATTCATATAATCTAAGAAAAGACAGAAATAGAAATTGGAGTATTATTTTCTTCAAATTAATTAAAGAACCCTCCGGGAATTTTTTATTTTATTTTGTTTGGAGTTGGAGAAAAATGTTAAATATGGTAGCTGGGTTATTACACATTATAGCTAGATAAGTCAAATGATATACTTCTTCGCCCAACTTTAATGAAGAAAAATAATTTTAAAAAATGTTTTTTTAAAAAAAAAAAAACCCCCCCGTTTTGTATTCAAAAACAATGATACAAAAGATTTTTTTTTTTTTTGGTAAGAAGGTTAATTTTCATTACAAGAAAAATGTTTATGATACATCGCATGTACAACCAAATATTAAAAGATCAATCTAAAAAGTTTAAGATATTATTAGAATATCGTAACGCAAAAGGAGCTAACTACTGTTATCTATGTCAATAGTAAGACTAATATAAATGCGCTTACACCACGCAAGGATTTTAACAGAATTTGAAATCTTCTGGATTGTTACATATCTGATTTTAAGATGTACAAGAATTTCGCTAATAACCTTTGAAGCAATAATAGAATTATTATGATGAAAAAAATTTCTATTTCGCTCTCTCCAAATGTAACAAATGGTAACACATAAAGATACCTTCTTAGGAACATTAAGAGTTCCATTTCTCCATACTTTACAGTGCTCGTTTGCAAGATACTAAAATTACAAATAGGTTGCCAGACTTGAGCAGAAAATGGATATTCAAAGAAGAGATGCTTAACATTCTCCTCATTTTGATGTCGATATAGTCATTCTGTACTAACTGAAGGATTCGACTTGACCACGTTTGCCTTTGTGGCAATTCGATCATGAAAGCCCAACCAAGAAATAAAGGAATATTTGGGAGGAGTTAACCTGCTCCAACGTAGTCTGCACCACCACTATGATGAGTTCTGTGTGATCAATGCATTAGTGTAAGACTTAGTAGAGAATGGTTTTCCTAGAGCAATCCAAATTATAGAACTATATACTCGTCATTGTTACACACATTTGTGCTGAGTCTTTAAGCTTAATGATTTTTTTCACACACCAAGAAAAGGATGATTTTTATTTTTTTATTTTTTTTTGAGAATAACAAACTTTAATTAACCAAAAAAAAAAATAACAAACTTTCATTAACGATCATTGAAAACGGTCCAGCACCGAATGAGGTACAAAGTTTGGAGCTTCACACCATAAAGTTTCAATTATACAAGCCGATTTGGCAAATTTGGCAAAGGAATGTGCAATAGCGTTATCATCTTGCCGGATCCATGAAATGTGGCTAACTGGAAGATCGTGGCAAATATGAAGCACATCCTCCATGACGGGGGAGCAAAAAGAAGGGCTGTCAGCTTCGTTTGCGGCTGCTAGAATGATCAAAGATGAGGCTCCTTGGACAGCTACATTGGAAATGCCTAAACGTCGACACAGCAATAGAGCTTCTCGGAACGCCAATTAATGCTTCTGCCAAATCTGAGTTCACTATGCCAAATCTGATTAAGAAAAGGATTATTTGATACAAAGGAATGTTAACACCAAATTTCTAAAATAAACCGTTTTGTTTAGTCAGTGTGGCATAGATCGGGAGTTAAATGTCCTTATCCCTCAAAATAATGCATGGGAGATCATATAAACTACTTCTTTCAGTTTTAGCGATTTGTTCAGAACTTTTGATGATCATAATTAATTAAGACACTTTTGTGAGTGTGGAATCATTTTTCACTCCTGGTGAGATGTTTGATATATGATTATACAATTTGAGGATACTTTTGTTTGTAAAAGTTACTCCGTTCCAAAAGGTAGTCGAAAATGATTTTTGTCAATCGTACTATTTTTAGTAAAAATCTTAAATGTCAATATGAAGTATTTTTTGGGACAGAAAGAGCACGCTTATTAATTTAACAACCTTAAAATTAATATTCCAACCATCTCAAAAATTTTGTTCAATTTGGATTTTTATTTTTAGTACAAATTGCACTAAGAGTAAAATCTCAAAGTGGACGATTATTCTGGGATAGATTGAATATGAATTGTTCAAGCAACAAACAACAAGAGAGACGACCACACAGTCAAAAACGATAAATCCTTAAGAAAAAAATCCATTTCTACAAGTTCATGAAACCTTCAATTCATAACCATTACCCATGGTGTTCATCGGGCAGTATAAACTTCTTCAAAGAAAACAAAAAGAGTTCCTACAAACCGAAGAGCGACTAAATGAAGAGATGAATAGTTATCCTCCCTTTTGTATAGATATTGATCAGTTTGTGGATTTGATCAATTCACAGCCAACACCGACTTCATTCGCTGATATGTAATAGGTTGTCTTCTCAGGGATGAGTGCATTTTCAGGTGCTTCATAATCCTCCAGATCCTTAGATAACTCTGGATCCTGCAAAGCATCACGAAGTTTTTGGTGAAGTATTTCTGCTGTAGACGGGCCTTTATGCTCCATTGCTGTTCTCTTCTTCCTTACCACACTTTTCAGCACTTGAGACACAAGAAATTTAAGAATCATACATTAGTTAAACTTAGGTTTTCATAAGAAAAGAAAAAATAGACAACTATGCTTGTTGCTAGCTAGAATTGGCACGGTAATTAAACCTAGGTTTTTTTTATATCCATATGAAGTAAAAAAAAAAAAAAATAAAAATAAAAATAAAAAAATAGACAACTATGGTTGTTGCTAGCTAGAATTGGCACGGTAATTAAACCTAGGTTTTCATAAGAATAAACTAAAGGAGTTGGAAAATTTTTTGGCCGGGATTTGCTGACAAGGTTTGGAAGAATAAACAAAGAGGTTCTTTCTCGATAATGGACTTAGCAACGCATGCAATAATGTAAAGTAAATTATAACCCCGACCATAATCCAGTATAATTAAGAATTTAAGACACTCTATGAAACAAAGGCAGCAATAATCGACGATTTGGACCACATAGGAAGCTAGGTTGATTTATGCATTTGTTCATGACATGATGAGTAAACTCTCTTGAATTTCCTTATTCAAAAAGAAATTATGATTAACTGAATTAATTAGCCCTTAGAACTTTCAATTGTTGCTTTAAATTAGAATTATCGAATCAATTGAACTGTATGCTCTTTTTATCCAACCAAATATTGTCTTCTTTAATGTATTAAAACTGTATAATAAATAGAACGATCATTTTCTGGATAAAAAGAGTAGATTGAGATTAAAAAAAAACATGCTGCCCCTTTTTTTTTCATTTTTATGCATGAATGTGTATTACATATCATTTTTCTTTATTTTGACTTTTTCATTTTGTAATTATAACCTCGATATACCTTTGATGTCATTATTCTAATATTGTCGTTGTCCCAAAATTATTATGCAGTTTAAACTTTTATTTTTAGTGCGATTTGAATTAAAAATAAAAATTTAAATTGGATAATAATTTTGGGCAAAGAAAATATTAATTCAAGACCGAAAATAAAAATTTAAGAAAGAAAAGCATAGAAACAGGAGACTGAACTCATGATTAACTTCAGTTATACCTTGGTCAAGATCAACAGTATCATGACGATGAGAAGAAGATTTCACATTGAGACCATCCAGTTCTTCCTTATAATCGTCGTTGTTGTCGTCATCGTCACGAGCCAAAGAAGGATTAAGAACATGTTTCGGAACATAATCTTCCAGGGTTTTCCTGGTTCTCCATCTCAACCCACAAGCATTGCAAAGTACTGGTTTTTCTGGTGGTCCGCACCTCCACAGACGGTTGCCTACACCAAAGCCATTCAGTCAAATAGATATGATTGTATATCGGCCTCATTTATTGTGTAACAGTAACCTTTTAGTGATGGAAGGAACAATTTCAACTTATTTACAAATATTGACTTAATGAAATACAATTTTTTTAAACAATAGATAACACAATCGTACCATCTCATATTTTTATTTTGTAGTATAGTAAGGTTCTGTGTTTCTTCCCCTTACATTTATAAATATAGATTATTAGACAAGAGTTTTTTACCCAAAAAAATATTTAAAAAAGATTCTAGACAAAAATAATACGGATCTAAATTAGGTGGACAATACTAGTTCACTCGGATTTGCCAAATCTGAGAGTACTGTACAGTCGGATTTCGCAAATCTGATACCACCGAAACTCGGATTAGTGTAATCCGAGACTTTAGTAACCTAAGATTACTTAAATTAATTCAAAGAATTAATTTAATTAACTAATCAAGAGTCGGATTTGCAAATCCGAGAATTGGCCATAAAAAAATATTTATTTTTTGGAAAAATAATTGAAGTTTTCGAAAATAAAAGTTGACTAGAAACCGATTAGCCTAATCCGAAACATGAAAATTCGGATTTCGGAAATCCGAAAGTTTAAACTAAAAAATTATTTTAAGTTTTGAAAAAAAAAATCTAAGTGTTAAAAATAAAAGGGAAGAGACTCAGCTTTGAAAAATTCGAGTTGTTTAGAAAATAGCAACTTTCGGATTTACGTTCACCTGGGTAGTGCCCATACTCACATAAGGCACATTAAACTAAACCCTAAATCCTAAAATCCAATGCTTTAACTAAATCGGATATTGAAAATCCAATTTTTAGTTGGAAATCCGAGTTTAAACTGAAATCGGATTTGGGAAATCCGTAGCTAAACCCTAAACCCTAAAAGTCGGATTTTAGAAATCCGAGTTTAAGCTAAACTCGAATTTTTGAAATTTGAGTTTAAACTAATCTCGGATTTTCGTAGAGTTTGAGATAAACTCGGATTTGGGAAATCCGAAACTAAATCCTAAACCCTAAACCCTATGGCTTGATTTTGAAAATCTAATTTTTTTGCTTAACTCGAATTCTGAAAATTCGATTATTTGCTTAAAAAGTACATAACACTAGTACAGATGAATTATACTTAATTAATAATAATATCTAATGATTAACAGATTTAACAGTAATAAGCAATACTAGTACCAGTGATGTATAGTGGGTAATAGTGTTAATGTACTACATAATACAAGTACGTATAAATAATATATAACACTAGTACACATGAATTATACTAAATTAATAATATCATCTAATAACTAACAGATATAACAGTAATAAGTAACACTAGTATCAGTGATGTATAATAGGTAATAATATTAATGTACTACATAATACTAGTACGTATAAAAAGTACATAACACTAGTACATATGAATTATACTGAATTAATGATAATATTTAATGACTAACAGATTTAAGAGTAATAAGTAATACTAGTACCGGTGTATAGTGGGTAATAGTACTAATGTACTATATAATACTAGTACGTACAGATAGTACATGACACTACGTAACACTAGTAATATATATTTTTCATCAATTATACTAAATTAATTTCATTCAAATTCCTATCAAATTTAATAATACTACATAACGTTAGTAACATATATTTTTCATCAATTTAAGTAAATTCTTAGTAATTATTAGTAATAAAAGATTTTATTAATATCATATCTAATGCAATATTTTTTATTTTTTTTATTTTATTAAAAGTGGATATTTTAATTTAATGCGAATTCCTATCAAAACTCAAATTCTCAAAGTTTTTTGCACTAAAAGATTTTTTTTTAAAGGTAGTTTGGATTTCTGAAATCCGATTCAACTATTCATTTATTAAATTTTCAAACTTTTCCACCATAAATAAAATTTTAAATTTTCCCGCCCTTCAATTTTTTTAAAAAAAAAATATGTTGGGAAGCTCTCAGATTTCAAACATCTGAGTTTACTGTACACATTTTGACCTAGGTTCCTTTTTTTCAAAATAACAAAAAAAAATTAATATTTTATTATTTTTTATTGTTTCGAATTTCGAAAATTCGAAAATCCGATTAATTAGACTCTTGAATTTGCTGAATCTGGGACAACTACTTATGTCCAATAAAATTAAAATAAAATTTTTTTTATTCACATCAATTTTTTTAAATTTTTTTGGCCGAACGACCCTTTCAGACAATGGCACATCAAGACATTTGTCCATTTTATCTATGATACATGTCAGGAAGAAAATTTGCTATATTTATTAAATGCGAAAGGAGGCTAAAAGCGAATCATTAATTCGAAGCAAAGAAGAAATTTCTTTTGTGCTAAGGAGTCATGAAGAGAATCCGTTACTTTCTCATCTGGCATGAGAAATTCAAAGCATTTGAATGTAACGCACATTATTTGGCTTGTCGTTCAAAGATATCTATTGGCTTTTAAAATTTTCCTACATTGGGAGACAAGTATTTGAGATATTAACCATATAATAATGTTCAGGAACATAAAAATACTTTCATACTCTTTAAATAGAGAGATAAATGCATAAAGCTGCAGTTTCTTTTTAACAACATAAAATGATAGTTTATTTCTCCCGACAAGTACGAGTATTATTTCAGATTTCATACATTTACTAACACTAGCAATTCATTTGATTCGTTTGTTAAGTATATTGTTGCAGTTTAATTAGGTTTTTTTTTTAATTTTGTAACTCTGTAAAATAATACTATCACGCATATCTTAGCGTGCTCATTCAATTTCAAGATAATAGTTGACAAAAATATCTCTTCTTTTGGAACAGATGGCGAAGGTAGTATATTATGCAAACTTTAAACCTTGATATAACGATTAAAATAAATTCTTGTTGGAAGATCACATATACCAAAGTAAAAAAATAAATAAATAAAAATAACTATAAAAGAACTCAGCAAATTAGTAAATTTGTAAAAGGCAAAAAGCTCGAGAGGAAGGATACTCACGGTCAATTCCACAGTGACAGCAAGGCCCTTGTCTAGCACCTAAATTTCGACAAATTTATGCACCAAAAAAAGTCAAATCATTATATATTAATAATACAAAACATGAAACACAAATCAATTATTACCATTTTGTTTGGCTGAATTATATAACATAGCTTGTGGATAAATGAAAGTCCCATCCGTCTCAAATTAAAATTACTATTTGTTTAAGTATTAACAGTAGGAAAAGCGACAAATTTATTTCGGTACTGAGGTTGTAATCCGAATATATGATACAAAGCTAAGATAACCATTATAAATGTGGGAAGTCCACAGAACCAAGAGCAATGAAATGAGAGAACAAGGTTATTCAAACATTGGATTATTCCAAAATAAATAAATAGTAGCATAGATAATTATAAGGCACTGAGTGGATCATAGGTATCATCGGGACTGTAGTTCTAATTTAGATAGTAAAATACTAGGTGGAGATTTAAAAATAAAGTAGGACAAGTTATTCATTAATGAAATTATATGGTTTGTAAAAAAAAAAAAGTATTACATTCAATATATATAAGTCAAATTCGTTTAATTTAGTGCATTTATTCATTTTTGGCAGTTAGTTTGGTTCTAAATCAGTCATAACCTTGTGTCATTGTTTTCAGATCAAGAGGATAACTAATTCAATTATTAAAACTTAAATGAACCTCAACGAATTTGAAACTATTAACCATGTCATCCATATGTTTAATCTATTCAATAATTTACACCACAAATAAGAAACTGACAGTTATACGTTATATATTTTTTTACCTTGGCGAAAACAATCAAGTTCATCATCAGCATCAAGGTCAGCAATAAAAGAAGGATCGATTCCATGTTTTGGAATGTAATTTTTAAGGGGTAAATTCTTCCTATATCTCGATCCACAAGCATTGCATAGTACTGGTTTTTCCGGTGGTCCGCACCTCCATAGAGGAGTCCCTACGCCACGAATCAATAATACATAAATCACAATCGTTTCTTGATAAGTTATCATTAAAAATAGTATTAAGAAAAAAAAAGGGCAAACTACATTTTATCCCCCGAATTTTAGTCCCTTCTACCATAAACCCCCCAAGTTTTGGTAATACTACCATTTATCCCCTGAGCAGGATCAGACATGAAAATGACTAAAATAACCATGGTCTGCATACATTCCATTTCCTTTTATTTTTTTGGTTTTTCTTTTATTTTTTGACCATTAAAAATGAAAATTAATTAAAATTTGTCATTTTACTTCTAATTAAAACAAGTTAATAAATAAAAATTAATTCATGATTAATAATATTAAATTTATTATGTTTTATAAAAAATTAATTAATAAAGATTATTTTATTTCAGAATACATGATATAGTTAAGTTTGAAAATTTATTATTATGTGCATTAGCATATATAAAAGAATTAATGTGGAGTATTTTTTAAATTTAATTTATTTAAAAAAATAGATTTAAATTGTAGAATGTAAAAAATAAAACTAAAGGGTATTTTTTACCATTTACACAAAGTTCATGATAATGTTAGTTTAATGAGGGGTGGATTTGGTAGGTTGACTAGGAGTCAAGAGGGTATATGGTAGTATTACCAAAATTCGAGGGGTTTATGATAGATTGAGTTAAAACTTGGGGAGTAAAATGTAGTTCGCCCAAAAATAAAAGACGCTTTTAATATCTGCCATATTTCTAATTTATTAGTCATGTGTTAACAATGGAACAACTCATTTTAAAAAATAATTTTTTTTAATCGTCTACTCAATTTATTAGACAAAATAATGCAATACAATGGACCATTAAAATTGGCGACGGAACCTAAGATGGAAATTTCTTTTTGTGCTGGTGAGGGTTCATTACTTTCTTATTTTGCATCAGAGAAATTCAATGAATGCAATAACAGCTATCATTAATTGGTTAGTCTTTCAAAGATGTGTACTTGGGATTTCATGCTTCTGGTAACAATAGCAAAGCCTTAATTATAGATTATATCAAATTTGAAATGCAAATAGTTATAGTTTATTTACAATAAATCATGATTAGAAAAGAAAAGAAAAGCAAAACACGGCACACTTCTATGATTTTTGTAAGAACAAATTATTCATTTCATTCAAATGGCCCACCCTTTATGAATAAACTTTTTTTTAA